TCTCCCTCCCTCTCTCCCTCTCTCCCTCTCTCTCACTCTGGAGGCCACAAAGAGTACTGTCTACTGTGAACTAACCCACAAGTCTCTGGAACAATACAAATGTACCAACTGGATGTGAAAAAAAAAATCCTGAACTTTTCGGATACGGTGCAAATGCGCAGGGGAATCCAAATTTGCAGATTATATTGTCTAATTAATTTCGCATCAAAACCATTTTTCATTGCTATATAATATTATACAGCGCAATATCCAGCTAATTTTAGAAATACTGATTTCTGGATTAATCCGGAAAAATGGGCACCTCTAATACACTCCCAAAGTCAACAATTCTACAAAAAGTTTGAAACATAGGACTGCACCTCCTGCGACAACCAGTAACATAAACATCAGGCCGACAGCGCTCGATTATTCTTCATACTTTTCTTATTGTAGTGTATGGGTTTATAGAATAAAGAACTGTATACCTCATATTTTGACACATAACTGTGATAATACTAAACCAAATTGATGGGAGAGCCATAGAAAACTCAAATAACAACACAAACTCGAGAAAGTCCAGTTAGAGATTCGAACCGCGGTCAACAGCACCGCAAGAGGGTAAAATCTTATCTCCCATTTGTCTGTTTCCGTAAGACAGTTGAACAGCATAATAATAAATGATAAGTCGCATCACTTCTTCAGCTACTTAAACAGAAGTGAAACAGCGATCGGGCCCCAGTGTTTTATCACCAGTAGAAATTACATACAAACATATTTTATCAGAAGATTATCACACATTAGCCATAGGTCCCTTTGAACACGCCTTATCCCAGGAGGCAACGGAAGAGTGGGTGTGTCCTGCGACGGAAGCCACGCCCCCAACTGCCCTGGGACATGATATCCCAACCTGCGGGAACAAGTGGCCCCCTCGGTCCACGAGTCTCACATTAATGTCCCTCGACGCGCAGCTCGTCGTTTTGAGGGCGGCCGGAGGAGGGTCACTGAAGAAAGAGCGAGGTGGTTTGGCAGCAGAGGCGCTGCTGAGAATGCTGTTACTGTTGATTGAGCAAGTCACTTGGGGAGGAGAAGTTTTATCACTAATGTCTGCTGGAGGCGGATACTGAAAGGGGCCGCTGCTGCCACCACCGCTGTTCCGGTAGCTGTTGCAGTGATGAAAGTGGTTGCTGTTGCTGTTGCTTGTGTTGTTACTGCTGCTGTTGCTGCCACAGCTACTGCAAGAACAGCTACATTTCGAATCTGTCTGACCACTGTCCACGACGTAACTGCTCTCAGACCGAGGTGCGCGACTGCAGCTGCACTGTGACGTGGCGGAAATGTCCGTCCCGCAACAAGAGGGACACAGGCCGATCACCGTGGTGCCCCCGGAGCTGTCTGAGAACACGGGCACGCACGTCGTGGTGTTGGTCTTTTCGTTGAAGAGCGAGCAGTGCTGTTGTTTGCTCCCTTTCCCCATGCTCACCAGATGGTCTGTGATGTACATGTGAGCCTTGGTGAGGCTCCTCTCCCGCCGGATCTGGATGAGTCTCCGGTGCTGTCGTGAGTCCGTCTTGAGCATGCGCACAGCTAGGAGAACCAGCAGCACGAGGATGAAGCCGCCGGCGATGGGCACAGCGATGACAGCGGCCTTGAACCAAAGGTCACGTTCATCGTCGCGGTTGTCAGGGTGGTTTCGAGAGTACACGGCTTTGTCGGTGTTAGCCGGTGCACTGCCTGCTCCGGGAGAGGAAAAGAGAGAAGAAGAAAAAAACCGATATTATCATATATTATATTCTAATCATTATTACAAATAATTCATAGTGCAATATTAATTAAGGTAGAGTAGATACTCAAAGGGAACCTAACAACTGGAAAAAAAAAGAGTGAAACTACTTTTGCTTCTATACCAATCTGCTTATCTTTATTGAACTCGCGTCTTTTTGGGCACTATATTAGTGGCAGTGAATATATACAACAAAGAAGTATTGGCGTTTACTGAATACAACTAAAAAGTATTGGTGTGGCTCACAGAAAGTACACACAATAGAGACTTATAATGTGCTGGACGATCTGAATATGGATCGTTTTACGCCACTTGCAACACAATATCAAAAAGGTCATTTAAGTGCGAAGATTAGAGGTGGAAGTAATGAGAGTGACAAACATATAAAAAGAATCAGGAGAGATAAGGACGATAGATAATGTTTTTGATAGAAAAGAAGGACCCAACCGCACCCTCCAACCACCCACAAACAACGTTCAATGTAGAGCAGTTTAGAAAATGTCATAAATGCTCTAGAGGTGTGTGTATTAGAGAGAGAGAGAGAGAGAGAGAGAGAGAGT